AGAGTAAATTTTGACCATGGGGCAATCTGTGAATGACATGATGGTACTAATACATGTCATTAGTATGATTTTATAGCAATATCTGATACTTGCACATGGTGGCTTTAGAAAAAGCACTCAACACCTCTGAGTGTAGTTTCCTCTCATCTGTAAAATGTGATCCTTGAATCTAGTCTGAAATATTCCAAGAGAACTCTCAATAGAATCCATAGCCATTATAACAATAAGACCCTAGTGCTTGTGGGACAGTTAAATCTTCTTCCATTGCGGCACTTACAAAGTGTTATCTGTATTACTTGGTGCTCCTCATTGCCCGTTGTTTGGGGTTTTTTTCTTTACTTTTCTCTATGCCTAGTTCCATTTATCCAAGTCTGTTGATTTCCATGTCAGTTGTATATAAAATCTTGGCTTGCAGTTGAAAGTAGTTCATGCCTTTTAGAATTTAAAACTTTTTTCTTTTCTTCTTTTTAAAGATTTTATTTATTTGTCAGAGAGGGAGAGCACAAGCAGGGGGAGTGGCAGGCAGAGAGAGAAGCAGGCTCCCCACTGAGCAAGGACCCCAATACGGGACTAGATCCCAGGACCCTGGGATCATGACCTCAGCCGAAGGCAGACGCTTAACCGACTGAGCCACCCAGCATCCCTATGCTTTTTAGAATTTAAAATGAATTAAACTTCACCGGTCAATCTAAAGTTGTGGCTTGTTACAGTTTGTGCAGGGTCCAAATTGTTTTCTAAAACTTTAAATACCCTCATAATTTTACAGTAAATTTCATTAAGAAAAACCCTAACTTAATAAACCAGCATTTGTTGTTGTTGCTGTTGTTGTTGTAAGCAAATATGCTGCTTTGAAGTCTTGGCATATCTTTGATTTTTGTTTTAAATATGGAACAATAGTCCTGGGACTTGAAAGTACAACCATCTTTTTGCTTCTATTCTAGAAGAAGCTGTTAAAGTCTTTCCAAACTTAATTCTTGGGAGTTTTTTTAATAACTTTTCATAAGATTGTTTTTTACCATTCCCAGCCTAGGACTAATACAAACCAGATTGATTTGGGAGGAATTGTGAGATAGTAAACTAATTCAATTCATCTACCACTTATGGAGTCCCCTGCCTGTGGGAACTACAAACATAAGCAAAGAGATCTGGAAAATTGAAATAGAAATAGATAAGACTCAAGAAAAAATGGAAAACAAATGGACATTGAGTAGTACAGATGGCATTAACTGCCCAAATGGAGGAAAATGTAATTATCCCCCAAATCACTAGGATCTAACTGCTATAGTCTGCCATAAACATTTTTTTAAAAATCTCAAGGAAGCATTTCCAGTTCCCTTCCATCTCTAGCATATATTCAGTCTCTTCTCCCCCATCTCATATACAAACACACCTCTTTTCCTTTCTGTTTTCCATCTGACTATAACTTAGAGTTTCTACAATAGTTTGTCAAACTGTGGGTCACAACCCATTAGTAGACCAAGAATCTCTTTGACCAGTATTTTTTTTTAATGAAAAAGATTAAAATAGGAAATATCAGAATGTACCACATAGTAAGGGAAAGTACCATGACCTTATTTCAATTGTATTATCTCATGTATGTGATTACACTTATAAAATGTATTTCTTATTGTGGATTGCCATTTTTAAAGAGTTTGAAAGCCATCGTTCTGGAGTATTTCATCTGTTTGTGCCTTGAACCTAAATTTCTTTATAAACATACATGTTGGGTGGTTATTTCATAAATATTTGGATAAGATTTTTTAAACTAGAATTTTTGCTTATGCCTGATATCTTGTTTCTAATCTGTATGGCCAGAGTAAAACCCATGGTGTTTACAGTAAGTTTTATAACTTTACTTTGTAAAAAAAAAAAAAAATCTGTTTTCCTGCATTATTTTCAATTCAAAGAATCCTCTTAGAAGATGAATATTTTTCCCACTAATGGAGTTCATACTGGTTTGCACTGGTTTATGTTGCTTTGAAGTACTAGAAAGCATGACTGTATATATGTAACATGAAAAATAGGATTGGTTGTTAAAACTACAATGAGATGTCACTTTACACCTGTCAGAATAGCTAAAATCAAACACACAAGATGTAGCAAGTGTTGGCAAGGATGTGGAGAAAAAGGAACCCTCATGCACTGTTGGTGGGAATGCAAACTGGTGTAGCCACTGTGGAAAACAGTATGGAGGTTCCTCAAAAAAATTAAAAATAGAATTATCATATGATCCAGTAATTCCACTATTGGGAATTTACTCAAAACAAAAGCAATAATTCAGAAAGCTATATACACCCCTGTGTTTATTGCAGCATTATTTACAATAGGCAAAATATGGAAGCAATCCAAGTGTCCATCAATAGATGATAAAGAAGATGGATGTGTATGTGCACATACACATGTACGTGCGCACACCCCCCACACACACATGGAATATTACTCAGCCATTAAAAAAATGAAATATTGTCATTTGCAGCAGCATGGATGGACCTAAAGGGTATAAGGCAAAGTGAACTGAGTCAGGAAAAGAGAAATACCGTTTATTTTCACTCATATGTGGAATTTAAGAAACAAACAAAAAACCAGATCCTTAAATAGAGAACAAACTAGTAATAGCCAGAGAGGAGGGGAGGGGGGTTGAATAGATAAAGGTGATTAAGAGGAGCACTGAGAAATGTATAGAACTGTTGAATCATATTGTATACCTGAAACTAATATAACACTGCATGTTAATTATACTTGAATTTAAAAAAAGGGTCGGTTAATTTTATTTATTTTTTTATTTTTTTTAAAGATTTTTTATTAATTTTTTAACAGAGAGACAGCGAGAGAGGGAACACAAGCAGGGAGCATGGGAGAGGGAGAAGCAGGCTTCCCGCCGAGCAGGGAGCCCGATGTGGGACTCGATCCCAGGACCCTGGGATCATGACCTGAGCCGAAGGCAGACACTTAACGACTGAGCCACCCAGGCGCCCGGGTTGGTTAATTTTAAAGAGAAGGAACCCTGGAACTGAATTGTTTCCATATCCTCTAGAAGCAGAAATATGTATGCTTAGTTTAGTTGTTCAGGATTAAGAAAAACTTTATTCCCTTAAAATAATCTACCACTTTATTCTCTTAAAATAACCCTCCTTGGGAAGCAGTATAGTGAAGATGCATGACTCCCTTCCAAACCATGGCAATTCTGGTACTTTTCTTTCGTTTGCTTGCTTGTTTTTTGGAAAGGTTTTACCAGTCTCAAAAACAAAAAATAATCAGTGCTACTGAGTAGCTGGAATTGGCATTTGAAAAGAAGTACTAGCTTACCTCTGGGTCTGGGTTGTGATGAAGACCACTGACCCTAGAGAGCTACGGACTAGATTTAAATCCCCGGTCCACCACTTGCTAGCTCTTTGGCCTGGGACAAGTTACTTCTCAATGATTTTATTTCCTGGTTTGTAAGGTGGAGATAACACCTACCTCATGGGATTAAGAGAAGTAAATAAACTAATGTATATAAAGTTCAGTAGCTAGCATATTCTTGCCTTCTTTGTTAAAGATTAATTGACCGTATAATTGCAGGTTTATTTCTGAGCTTTCTATTCTCTTCCATTGATCTAAATGTCAGTTTTTGTGCCATTATCAAACTTTTTATTATTACAGTTTTGTAGTATAACTTGAAGTCTGGAATTGTGATACCTCCAGTTTTGTTTTTCTTTTTCAACATTGCTTTGGCTATTCAGGGTCTTTTGTGGTTCCATATAAATTTTAAGATTGTTCTAGTTCTGTGAGAAATGCTGTTGGTGTTTTGATAGAGATTGCATTAAATCTAGGTAGTATGCGCATTTTAACAATATTTGTTCTTCCAGTCTGTGAGCATGGAATGTCTTTCCATTTCTTTGTGTTGTCTTCAATTTCTTTCATCAGTATTATAGTTTTTGGAGGTCTTTCCCCTCTTTCATTAAGTTTATTCCTAGGCATTTTATTTTTGGTGCGGTTGTAAATGGGATTGTTTTCTTAATTTTCTGCTGTTTTATTATTAGTGTATAGGAATGCAACAGATTTCTGTACATTAATTTTTGTATCCTGTGACCTTACTGAATTCATTTATCAGTTCTGGTAGTTTTTTGGTGGAGTCTTTAGGGTTTTCTTTATACGGCATCATGTCATCTAATGCAAGAATTTTTAATCTTACCGTTTGCTTGGTCTAAGTTGCACCAGGGCAGCTGTAGAGATGAATTCTATTAGAGAAAAATATTAGAGACAAATACAGTAATCTCACTGGTTGTTAACTGTGTTTTAAAGATGAGACCAGATATCTCTGGTTTTTATCAGATTCAGATCCCTAAGAAGAAAGTGGCCTTTACCACCTTCTTCCTGAATCTGTCTAGAGAAGTGTGATTATCATGATAATTAAGTGACTCAGCTGTTCACGTGGTTTCAATAGCTTTTTACTGTTTCTTGAATTTGAAGCACTATCTGCTGTAGTCTGGCAACCTTAGTAATTCCTCCTAGGAAGTTGAATCATTGGAAAAACTTAAAGGAAAATTTTTAGACTTAAAAAACTGTGTTTCTCTCATATGTTAGTAAATTACATTCTCTATAAAATGTAGGGTCATTAAATATGGCCAAAGTTTGGTCTAACATAAAAAAGCATGAGTAAGAAAAGAGAAGTTCTAGTGACAATACTCACTAATTGTGGAAATTTTGCCATTTTAGATGTGAGGTTTTACTTTCAGAGATTTTGATTGTTGCTCCTAAAGATTCAGTTAGTAGTTGATGACATTATTATAATTGAATTGAAGAGTTTTCATTACCTCTGAAAATATCAGTTTCCAATTTAGCACTTTAAGAGAATTTACCTTAATAAAAAATTGTTCTAATATTTTTTGAGAAGCTACTTTCTAAAGAAAGTTGCCACTGGTACTTTCTGGGTAAAAAAAAAAAAAGCTCTGCTTGACCTCCATAAAATCTAATTTAATACTTACCATGAATGTCCTCGTTTGTGTTTATTAATGCAGATAACAAGGGGAGTCGCTGACTTGAAGCATGAGTTCAGATGCCAGCCAAGGCGTGGTCACTACTCCTCCTCCTCCCAGCATGCCTCACAAAGAGAGGTATTTTGACCGCATCAATGAAAATGACCCAGAATATATTAGGGAAAGAAACATGTCTCCTGATCTACGACAAGACTTCAATATGATGGAGCAGAGGAAACGAGTTACTCAGATCCTGCAAAGTCCTGTGAGTTGAAATAATTAGAAGGCTATAATCTTTCTTCTCTCTGGAAACCTTGATACAGAGTGAGGTAGGAGGTATCTTAAAGTATGCTCACATTAGAAGGGGGGTGCAGGAAGAGTGACTGCTAGTTGCCCCCAATCTTTCAGAGGTAAAATGAACACCTAATTTATATATTTAATTTGCAAAGCTTTAATAACAAACTACTATCGTCTTGGTGGTGTAAATTTTCTTTGTGTGGTTTCTGAGTGTAATACTTCATTAGAGGAGTTCAAAAGATCAGCCGAGCTAGGATACCCAGTTCAGAGTGAGTATCTGTGTAGAAAAGAAAGGAATGACTGAATTGTTGCGAACCAAGAAGTGAATTAGATACATCCCATGCACATATTTTCTTCTTTCTTTGTGTACCTTGACACACAGAGCAGCATAGGAAGACTTAAGGTTTTTGAGGTGGTCTTTGATTTGGCAGCCTAATGTTACGTACACCTAATGCAGGCACACATATATGCATACGTACCAAACTAACTAAATTAAAAGTGGATTATAAACTTAAGCTGAAAATTCTATCTGCACAGTAATATATAGACTTTGTAAATCATATTTAAGTGATTTGTTAGTTTTCTTACAAACCCTTAGTGGAATTGCAAAGGTCATATATCAGTGATGGAAAATGAGAGAATAGCTTGATTTAAGATGCAAAATGAATTAATAACTTTATGCATAATGAAGAACATGGACCCCTATAAGGTAGAGTTCAGCAAACATAGACACGTGATGCCCATGTTGGGATTATATTAGATTTTCATCTTCAGTACTAAAATAAACACCAAGGCAGGGGCGCCTGGGTGGCTCAGTCGTTAAGCCTCTGCCTTCAGCTCAGGTCATGATCCCAGGGTCCTAGGATGGAGCCCCACGTCAGGCTTGCTGCTTAGCGGGAAGCCTGCTTCTCCCTCTCCCACTCCCCCTGCTTGTGTTCCCTCTCTCGCTTTCTCTCTCTTTGTCAAAATAAATAAATAAAATCTTAAAAAAAATAAATAAATAAAATAAGCACCAAGGCATAGAACTGCCTAAGGTGGCCCTGGTAAATCATTTTTGTTGTGCCCTTGTGAATTTAATCACAGAGGTTGAGCCCAAAGCCAAAGGGGAATTCCACCGTGAGTAATTCAGCTATACCAGTGACCTAGATAAAAGCAAGTACAAGTTATAAAAGCAGTGCAAGCTTTGAAGAATTTAAGTATAGCTTAAGTTTAAACCTATCCTTTAAATAAACCCGTAAAGAAATCCTTTCCCAATGGAAAGGAGATTAACCAGAGGATTCATCATGAGGGAGTAAATGTTCAGTGCCTTCTTTTATGCAAACCTAAACTCTCTGTGTTTATAAATACTTGAAAGGCACATTAATTATTTGGATTAAAATAGATATATTCCCTCTTCTAAAGAAACACACCCCACTTTTAAGAATTAACTTATTTGCCAAATGATTACAGTAACATGTATAAAGTAACAGGGAATGAGATGAAATTCAAATTTTGTTAAAAGTTGTTAAATACTGAGATTTCTTTTAGAAATGTTCCAAAAAGGACCATTCAATTTTAACTATAACGTTTAAAAGGAAAAAGTACTAAGCAGCATTTCCTTGCCAGGGCTTTCGTTTTAATTTCTCCATTAAATAAAGACAGCATAACTTTGAGTAGATGTTCTAATTTTTTTTATACCTATGTATTTTCGTTTGTAAATTGGCTAGAAGTATCAATTTCACCTATGCCTTAGAGAACTAAATGAAATTACGGGAAAAGCCAGACATACCGATTGTCATTTCCATATTCACATAGCGAGAGGTAATTTTCAGCCCAGATAGGAACAGAGAAGATTGAAAAGAATTGTGGATTGATCATCTTTTCCCTAGATCTTTGCTAGTGAATTTAAAATCTCATTTGTGAAAGACTTAGAAAAGTGTGTAAGTTTTGTCTTCTCTGTTTTGGGACAACAGTTGTCAAATTTCTTTTAATACAACAAACTTTTAAAACAACAAAGGATATAACCCATGGTGACCTGTGTTAGTATCTGTTGCTAAATAACAAATTACCTTGAAACTGTACAATTAAAACAACAAGCATTTATTATCTCTTCGTTTCTCTGGGACAGGAATTCAGGAGCAGCTTAGCTGAGTGGTTCTGGCTCAAGGTCTTACACAAAGTTGCAGTCAAGACATCATCCAGGGCTGCTGTCATCTGAAGGCTTGACTGGCCTGGAGGTTTCCACTCTTGAAATGGGTCACTCATGTGGGTATTGGCAAAGGGCCACAGTTCCTGGCCACGTGGACCTTTACCTGAGGCAATTTGAGTGTTCTCCTCCAGAGCATGTATCTGCGAGAGAACCAGGAGGAGTCTGCAGTGCATTTCATGACTTAATCTCAGACATTAAACACCATCACTTCCACCATATTTATAGTTAGAAGTGAGTCACTAAGTTCAGCTCATACACAAGAGAGAGGAATTAATATCCACCTTTTGACAGGAGGATTTTCCACTCTCTGATCACAATTGAATTTAAAAGCACTGCACTCTGCCGCAACTTATTTAACTTCCTTCCACATGGAAAATACACTCACTCTCTCCTCACACCCCTGCAGAAGTCTCATCTCATTAGACTATTTTCCTGAATCCAGAATCTTACTAAATCTGGTCCAGCTGCAGATGATGCTCCTCAGGTGTGATTCCTTAAATACAGTTCCTTTAGTACAAGTCCTCTAAATTTTTTTTTTTTTTTTTTTAGATTTTGTCTATTTTTATTTGACAGAGACAGCGAGAGCAGGAACACAAGCAGGGAGAGTGGGAGAGGGAGAAGCAGGCTCTCTGCAGAACAAGGAGCCCGATGTGGGACTTGATCCCAGGACCCTGGGACCATGACCTGAGCCGAAGGCAGACGCTTAACGACTGAGCCACTCAGGCGCCCCAAGTCCTCTCAATTCTATACACCAGAGAACTAAAGAGACAAGTTATCTGCCCTCACACACAGCCAGTGGTGGGGAAACACATTCCTGTTCAAAAAGGAAATTAGGGGTGCAAAGGAATAACTGGTCCATAGCAGTTGTGAAATCCATCTGGGCAAATGTTTGGAAGTTCCCTTGATGAAGACCCAGTCCTTCTACTTCCAAGGGGGTGACTCTCTAGCTAGTGGCTCTGCCCTCTGGGCTTTTCATTCTACCCCCTGAATCATCTTTCCTTTTCTTTGAATGGTAGCCTGTGGTTGTTTTTTTTCCTCAGCCTTCTTCCTTCTTATAGAGGCTTAAGGTTCAAAGACCTCTTTTCTTTTGGAACTACCTTTGTTCCTTTATGCCCAAGCTTGCAGTGTTTCTGCAAATATAATTCTCTTAAAAACCTATGTGTCTTCTATGATATTGGGGTTCACTCTGTTAGACAAAACCCATAACTAATAAAGATCAAAATCAACTCCAAAAACTTTAGAATACTCATGGAAGAAACTGAGGAAGACACAAAGAAATGGAAAAACATTCCATGCTCATGGATTGGAAGAACAAGTATTGTTAAAATGTCTATGCTACCAACAGCAATCTACACATTCAGTGCAATCCCTATCAAAATATCATCAACAGAACTGGAACAAATAATCCTGAAATTTGTATGGAACCAGAAAAGACCCCGAATAGCCAAAGGAATGTTGAAAAAGAAAACCAGAGCTGGTTGCATCACAGTGCCAGACTCAGGCTCTATTACAAAGCTGTAATCATCAAGACAGTATGGTACTGGCACAAAACAGACACATAGATCGGTAGAACAGAATAGAGAGCCCAGAAATGGACCCTCAATTCTGTGGTCAACTAATCTTTGACAAAGCAGGAAAGAATGTCCAATGGAAAAAAAGACAGTCTCTTCAAAAATGGTGTTGAGAAAATTGGACATCCGCATGCAGAAGAATGAAACTGGACCATTTCCTTATATCACACACAAAAATAGACTCAAAATGGATGAAAGACTTAAATGTGAGACAGAATTCCATCAGAATCTTGAGGAGAACACAGGCAGCAACCTCTTCAATCTTGGCCACAGCAACCTCTTTGACCTTGGCCGCAGCAACTTCTTGCTAGACATGTCTCCAAAGGCAAGGGAAGCAAGGGCAAAAATGAACTATTGGGACTTCATCAAGATGAAAGCTTTTGCACAGCAAAGGAAACAGCAAAAACAACCGACAGAATGGGAGAAGATATTTGCAAATGACATATCAGATAAAGGGCTAGTATCCAAAATCTATAAAGAACTTATCAAACTCAACACCCAAAGAACAAATAATCCAATCAAGAAATGGGCAGAAGACATGAACAGACATTTCTACAAAGAACACATCCAAATGGCCAACATGAAAAAATGCTCAACATCACTCGGCATCAGGAAAATACAAATCAAAACCTCAATGAGATACCACCTCACACGAGTCAGAATGGCTAAAATTAACAAGTCAGGAAATGACAGATGTTGGTGAGGATGCAAAGAAAGGGGAACCCTCCTACACTGTTGGTGGGAATGCAAGCTGGTGCAGCCACTCTGGAAAACAGTATGGAGGGTCCTCAAAAAGTTGAAAATAAAGCTGCCCTATGACACAGCAGTTGCACTGGATATTTACCCCAAAGATACAAATGTAGTGATCCGAAGGGACACTTGCTCCCCAATGTCTGTAGCAGCAGTGTCCACAATAGCCAAACTATGGAAAGAGCCCAGATGTCCATCAATAGATGAATGGATAAAGATGTGGTACATATCTACAATGGAGTATTACGCAACCATCAGAAAATGAGATCTTGCCATTTGCAACGACATGGATGGAACTAGAGTTTATTATGCTAAGCAAAATAAGTCAATCAAAGACAATTTATCATATGATCTCACTGATATGTGGATTTAAGAAATAAGGCAGAGGATCACAGGGGAAGAGGGGGGAAAAAATGAAACAAGATGAAACCAGAGAGGGAGACAAACCATAAGAGACTC